TAATCACACAGAGTTGTATATAAGTAAATAGAGAGGCAGTACATACGACCTGCGCGTGGAAAAATAACTCCAACTACAGTGGCCGACTTTTAATGGCGGAGCCGTTGGGACTCATGCGCAGTGCGTGAAAGGGAATCAGCACGATTTTTGGGTGCATTCAGTTACATAATCACAAAACAAAACTTCAATAACTTTTCAGATGCTTCAGCTAATAAACAGACGCTTTGGAGCAATAATTTAAGCATGCTCATTACATTATACTCTTTACCGCCATTTCAATGTTTAGTAGGCGACGATCTGTACATAAATAAAGGATATTTTAAAATGCTCCTAGAAAAGTGCAAGAAAAGATCAAATATATGGGTGGAAGGAAAACTCTTCCAAGCAATTGTTGAAACTTGGTTTTCGATACAAGAAAGTGTCGGGACAAACGTAGGTTGGTAATGGAAAGAAGTGACATTGTAGTATGGCATCTCGTTATTTAAGAAGATTAAAAGAAAATGAACAACCTGAATCCTGAATGTGACAAGAAACCCGTTATATACTTGGACGAAACCTAAGTATATTCACCCATCGTACGGAGTGAGTAAATGCTAACAATCAGATGAAGTATCGGAAGTTTATAATAGGGCTGGTCAGATGTACATCGTAGTATGCTGGTAGTCCTTCTAGTTTTGTAGAGGATGTCGCACAGTAAATTGGGGGATTATTACGATGATATGAATCATACCAACTTTATGCAGTGGTTAGAGAAGCAGCTTATACCAAATTTACCAGCAAACTCATGTAAGTACCTTATTAGTGTTCAAATAAATAAGCCACCAACAATGAATAATCGTAAGGAAATAACATTCCTACGAGAAATGAATTTATTGACAATGTAGGTACAATTTATTGTGAACACCGGCAGTTCCGATGATGATTAGTGGTCAAGTGACGATAATGAATGAAAAAAAGTTAAAAGTTGTGTGTTAATTTAGTCAATGTGAGTGTTATTAATTTCAATGTGATTGTTTCAATAACTGTCCATATTTACACAGCAGAAGTGCATCAGAATTGTAAATTGTGTTGAACATCTAACAATCTTAAATAATTTTTACGTTTTGTAGAAATAAAATTATTAATTTTACTGTTTCCCCTTGAAGTAATGCAACTCATATCGCGTGGCCCACTTATTTATATTTAGTAGAGTCAAATATTGCATGAGAATGTACAGCCTAAATTTCCAACGTCCTCGGACACGCCCTGTCAGGAACCTTCTGAGCGTGGTGCCACTGTACATACCCTCTGCCGATGCTCCATTTTTGAGATATTTGAGTTATTGGCATTTGAAGTTTGTCGACTTTGTGGCTACCCGTATTCAAACTGTGTTTTCGGCATTGCACACTAAAATTTTGTCCCGCACCAAAATAAAATTTCAACTTATTTTATTCTTTCATTGCTTATTTTTATACTCACTGAGTGCATAAATAGATCTTTAAACTCGATCGTACGACAAATTACGATTTCCTTTATACCAGAATCTCAAAAAATCTTTTCTCGATTCTGATGTTGTAAGCCCCTTACCAGCTTTGTATTGTAGTCTACTGTATTAAAAGTTCTTAACGATTGTAATGTTTCTTATTATTTTTATTCAAGACACAGTGTTAACAACATCATTCACCACACATTGAATTTCTTTTCAATTTTTGTTGCAATGAGAAACCATATTATTCTCAAGCCGAACCTGCTTTAAGGATCATTTAATTTGAAGCCGGTTCTGTTGTTGACTACTGCGCACACTCACCAACGGCCTGCGCAAGGTTCAATTGGAGTCAATTTTTCGCTACAAGACTGTCTCTCTATTTACTTATATACAACTCTGTGGTAACTACCCACTTTTCATCGCACTGGTCACATTTAAAACTTTCAGATCTTTGGTTAATACATATTTTGCCTTTGCAATGAGTGCTACTACTGGTCACAGAATTGCATCGTTTGCACTGCATATCCTTGGAAGTCTTCAGTGTTAACAAATATGCTTTGAAAAGAGTGCTTTTATTGGTCGCGTAAGTGTACTGATCGTATTTAATATTCCCAGAAGACGTGTGAACAAATGTGATCTCAAATTTGATTTATCTTGAGTTGCGTAAATACACTCGTTACATTTATAATCCTTGGAAGCTTTGTGTGTGTTAATATGTGCTTTCTTAAGCTGCATATGCCAATAGTTGCGGATATCACTGGTCACATTTTAAGACGTTTTAACAAAAATTTACTTTTTCTTGAGTTCCACTTCTGAAAAATGGGTAATTTGATTGCGTTATAAGTTCTTGTTTATATATTTACGTAAAACTTAGTGTACGTCTGTTTCCGATTAATCGCACTAAATACCCTCAACGAACGGTTTAATTGATTTTACAGCAGATGACAGTTAACCATGACATGACGTTCGTTGACTTCAATAAGTACTACCAACTGAAGAACGCGCATAACCCCTTCTCTCCAGCGGAAACTAAAAAACACCGCGATGCGGGAAAGTCGTTTTCCCGTGCATCGAGGATGCTTGGAAACATTATCTTTCCATTCAATGAGTACAAAAATTGTTATTCCGTATTTCTTATTCCTTATTTTTTTCATTGTGTGATGGGCTTTAGAAATAACATCCTTTCGAGGCCGCTAGCATCGGCCCGGCCGCCGGCATAATTTTGCTAGCGGGCAAATGTCGGTAAATGTGAAAGGATAAGGGCAGGCTCTGTCTGAACTAGAGCTCTAAAAAGTTAGGTATGCTCGACGGCCATTTTGGACTCAACCTATGGAGCGAGTAACGCTGTCAGCTGCTTATGTATTCAAATAAGTTCATACAAGTGTCGACTTGCTACCCAAGGAAAATGGCGCAAAAACAAAAATTAATACAGTTCTTTGCTTTTATATTTCAGCCCAATTTTTAAATTAAGTGTTTTTATTTTAATGAGTGAAAAGAGGTAAAAAGGTTTATATGAAAAACATTCAAAATTTACATACATTTAGAAATAGGTACAAAGTTCGGAACTAATTACAATTTACAATCTGGTTTCTTTTTCTGTCGAAGAACCATATACTCTCACTTTTCGCATTATAAATTACGAAATCTAGTATTTTAAAGGGCGAACCTTTTAAAATTAAATAGCTATTTGTGTATTAAGAGCGCAAAATGATATATTGTCGATTGAAAGAAACAGTTGACGCGCGACGAAGGAGCGCGGCAATCTCTTGAAATCGACAATCAATTTGCGCTCGAATTACACACAAGATTTTTTCTACAATCGAGCAGTTCACATATTTCCAGAAATTTAAATTTTTCACTCAAATAATTTTAATCTTATGTCCAAATGAAAGATGTCATTTACTCGTTGTCATTGGATACTCTGAGCAATGCATATTTGATTTATAGTTAATAATTGGGAGAGCGAGCGTTTTTGCTATTTTGTCGCTTATAAGCGACAAAGTGACATTCCTCGAAAAAGATGACGTTTGCATTGTCAAATACGAGCGCAAATGCCTACTTTGGATATCGATTGTAGAAAAAAATATTTAAATGTCAGTTGCCGCCAAGTTTATATTACCTACCTTTCTAAATCTTACTTTCTGTGGATAGGTACTGAACAAGATATATTCTATATATCTTGGTACTGAATATTATAAATTCCTTTAATTTAATTGAATGTACCTACACTCGTTTCCTTGTACAATGATTTCCTAGGTAAAGGAGTAATCCTTGGGGGAGGATTTGGCACATCGAATAATGTGGGCACTGCATTGGGTTTCAGTTTCTTCAATTTGTCCTTTCGGCAGGTCTCAAACTGATCCTCTTCAAAATGTACCTACGAAAGAAGAAAGAAACAAATAATAAATTAATCATAATTTAAAATTTGTGGTAATATTCTAAGATATCTACCTCACAAATACGTGAACCTGTAGTTGGTTGCCATTTATCAGGTCCTCGATCTCGTCTCATGTTTTGCACCCACTTCGACCGCCGAGGCTCATCTGCTGGGATTCGGTATAGACTGTATACCGTTTCTCAGATCGGTTACTGCAATTTGGAGCTGCACAGCAGGGCATTTTTAAAATGCTTTCTTGATAATCTGCCATAATAATATACGTGATAATGTAGGTATATGATTTGAATTGATGAATTTGATAAACATGCATGTAAGAAGTTAACCTAATTTTACAAGAAATTTTTGAGTTGGCAAACTTTATCATCAGAAACACATTTAGGGGCAAAGGCAACACATTCCTTGAACAAAAAGAATAACGATCAAGATCAAGTAATGTAAATAGTTTACCTTATTAAATTAATGTAACAGAATTGAAGTAAATACTTATTAATTCGTCTTCCTACCGCACGTTGATATATAACTACACCAATTCGGCACTACACAAGCAATATTTATACTCCGAAAGAACGAAAATGGCAATACAACCATGAAAATTTATAAAAACAGAGCAACGTTTAGTAAACATTCACCAGCTGACAAGGCAACTCCCTCCATTGGCTGGGTCCAATATGGCGACCGAGCTTACTCACATTTAGAGAGCCTTATCTGAACAAGTGCAAACGTGTGTTTTCAGTCAGTTTTGCGTATTTGTGTCAAACGGTACGTTCACGTTGTTTACGTGGTATATTTGTCTTTTGTTTGCTTTTCTCTGAAATTTGAGTTTGTATTTTGTTTTTCACAACGAAGATTTTTGTTTAAACTAGGCCCGAGGCCGTACCTAAAACATGTGCTTCCTCTTATTTGTTGCTTGATAACAATTTTTAGGACCTTAACAAAAAAATTTCGTCGTAGTCAAACAATCTCGGATGAAGAATAAGTACTTTCTGCAAGCTGATACATCTGCCCAGTGTGGTGGAGTTGAATTTAAGTCCGCGTCAAATTCGCAGCAAGCCGCGGCATGTTGTGTTGGCGGCAAGGGCGGAGAAGCCGCCGGCTTAGCCCAGTTGGGTGGAGACCCGCCTTAAGGTATATACCCAGTGTGTTCTTTATTCATTGGTTCCTTCATCTTGCACATTTTGCACTTGTTAAACCACATACAGAGTATGTATAAGTGTACCTATGTAAAGTCATGAGGTTGGAAATTTCCTTAAAGGCAATAGTAAAGGATTCGTCCCATGCTGCCCGCACAGAACGCTTGCCTTTACTGCAAAAAAATGATACTTTTACTACCGCGTTACCGCCTTTAATGTGATTTTCAACCCCCAAGCTGAAATTAATCCTACAGTATACGCGAACGCGGAAAAATTCACAGTAAAACTGTATGGTGTCCGCACAGAATCAGAGCAAAGATAATTTTTCACGAAAACAAGAAATCTTCAGAAGATAAGCGATCTTGCTTCAATTCCCCCAACTCGTGCTGCATTGGACACAAAGAGAACGGCGTATGTCGCTGATGGTCACACTGGGACTGTGCAAACCAGATAAAGGGAAACTCCACAAGTCCTGAAGGATGGAGATTGACGCTTGAAGTCAGACACTGGATGATTCTGTGGTCCAAGCTGCCACAGGTATGAAAAGCAGTCGGTGCTCTGGACAGGTGTGGCTGCGAGACCCTTCGGTCCAGTTGCCGGAGACATAGACTGTCATGTTCCCCTGCGGCCCTGCATGCCAAAAATGTATTAGGGATCCCACAAAGGGTAAGGGTATTGTATACTTTCGACCAGGCCCGACAAGAGGGGGGGGGCAGACGGGACTAATTCCCGGGGCCCGGTCGGTCTGGGGGCCCGGATGGACCCAGACGCGCCGCACGTACTGCTAGATAACGTTATTGTTGGATTATCTACACGATTTAATGCCGTACAGAAGATCACTAGTTTATTTTGCATCCTTTGGACCTTTGTCGATTCTTCTGAAAAAATTATTCAAGAAAAATCAAATGTTCTTCAATCTACTTACGAAGATATAGGCCCTCAACTTCAGGAAGAACTGCTGCATTTAAATGCAATATACCAGGCAAATTTTGGCATTGAAAAACTTCCACCTCTAGAACTTTTAAATAAAATACATTCTTTAAAATTTGAAGCCTTGTTTCCGAATGTTGTTATAGCTGTAAGACTATTCTGCACCATACCTGTGACAGTTGCTTCAACAGAACGTTCGTTTAGTTGCCTAGCTAGAATAAAGAACGATTTAAGCTCGACGATGAATCAGGGTCGCACATCCGACTTGGTGCAATTTTGACCGCGTTATAGAACTATTTGCAAGTCGCAAATCGCGAAAAGCGCCATTGCAATAAAAATGATTTTATTTAATTTTTGTTGTGTTTGTTTTTATTCGTATGCACACTTACGTATATAAAATGAATTTGTTTTCGTTTTTTTTTTAAATTTTTGTAAGGTTTTTTACCTATGGAAATAAACTTTTAGACATTTTTACATATAATTATTATTTGGTGTATCAAACATTTTTTGAAAGGTTAGTAGGGCCCGAAGTGCTGAACAGTCCCGGGCCGTGAATCGGCTCTCGGGGCCCTGCTTTCGACATACCTATATAATTTACTTACACCCGAAGCCTTTAATCCTATTCATATGTGAAATTCTCTTCAGTGGGGAAACGATAACGCAATCACAGAGGATCTTTCATTTTGTATAATTACACTACATGTAATTTGATATGTGTTTTTGATTTGTTTAGTGTGTTTTTTTATTAATAAAATAGGTTATAGAGTTTTATATATTAAAACTGTGAATATCTTTGGTGGGAGCCTCGTCATGCCACTCTTTGATGCCTGTAGGTTATTTTTTGTTACCATAATGAATTCCATGATACACAAACACATAGAACTAGATACTTTACCCACGCTCGGCGTGCCTATGCCTCAGCCACACTATGCTCCTCGCACTGCTCATCGCCCTGCTCTACGTGCTGCCGCGATGTTTCGCTCTTTGTCCACACACTCCTTTACTCGTGCAATTAATCGCCTCACTCCGCATTTGGCATTTGCCTTTGCAAC